AGGTGCCGGGTGGCCGAGCACTGGCCTGGACACCACTAGGGAGGTCCTTCTGGGGCCTTCGGGGAGGGGTGCTGTTCCCAGGCCTGGGAGCTGGGAGTGAGAGCACCGAGGAAAGGCTGGGGCAGCCCCTGTCTGTGTGGAAGGGCCTGCGGCGGCAGCATGAGGAGAGGGTGCTTTGGGGTGTCCCCCAGCACACCAGGGATACAGGAGTGATTCCTCGGTGAAGGTGGCAGGTTGGGCACTTTCCTGACACCCAGGAAAACGGAAGGAAGGGGCGATAGAGGCTTGACCCACAGAAGCAGGAGGACAGAGGGAAACAGATGAGCGAGCAGTGACCGACCCAGCAGGCGGCAGAGAGCAGGCCCCGGAGCCTGCAATGGGAAAGCGGGGTGTCAACCTGTCCCCCATCCCAGCATCCTCTGGAATGGAAAGCACTGGGTCTCACTGGAAATGGAGGTCAGCTAACAGGAGGACAAACGGAACGTCTTGAAAGGCAGCCGGGGTCCTCGACCTCCCCCTGCTAGACACTGTGGGGTGACTGCCCCCCTCCTGTCCCCGCAGAAGATGGGAGGGCTGTTCTCTGAGATGAATGAAACAGAAGCTTCCTGTGCTGGGGACGGCAGCCACCAGTGAGAACTGGAAATTAAATTAATATGTTTAATATCTTTAAGTCTGAGACCCCATCAGCCCGCTTTCCCAACTCAGCTCTAGCACTTCACTCCTGCCTTCTCTGGAGTCCTCAAGAAATGGCCCTGTCAGCTCACCCTCCAGCACAGCCCCGGTCCATAAACCCCACCCAAGGATTTGAGCTTTGAAACAGCTTCTTAGCAACCACCCCCTCCCCCAACTCTAATGAAGAGCAGACAATGACCAGCTCTCCAAGGAAGGCCTCTGGCGGGAGCAGCAAGACCCAAACCAGCTAGTGGGGAAAGTACCTGGTGGAAAAGATCAGAGAAAGCACAGCTTCCAGGAGAAAGGGAGAGGATACTATTGAGAGAGAGAGAACGTGCGAGAGAATAAACAGACAGTAAACTTGAGCTCTTGGAAATCAAAAGCATGATGGCAGAAGTGGAAAACTAAATTAGCGTTGGGGATCAAGCTGAGGGAAGTTCGCAGGAAGAAGAGCCAAAGAGGAAGCTGGCAGGTAGCTGAGAATGAGAAGTGAAGGACTACCCCAGCATGAGCGACACCAGGAGATCAGAGCTCCAGAAAGAGAGGATGGAGGAAGCAGAGGGGAGGAGTTATCAAGGAAAGAGTTCACAGAAATGTCCTTGGACTGTGTGCCCGATAGATGGAGAAAAGCACCCACACTCACTCACACTGTTGTAATTTCAGAAGCAAAGAGCATACACGTTTCGGCGGGCGAAGGGAGGGGGAACAGGTCACACAGGAGAAGAATCAGAAAACCTTTTAACAACGACAGTGAAGCTAAAATGTACTAGAGTGATACTTTACAAATTCTGGCATTGGGGGAAAAAAATTATGTCCAACCTGTAATTCAATCCCCTCTCAGGTATGTAAGGTGGGGAAGCATTTACCTCCATGCACCTTCACCAGGAAGCTACTACAGGATGTGCTCCACCCAAACAAGGGAGGAGACAGACTGAGGGGAACCCGGGGAATGGCAGATCCAAGGGAGATGCAATGTGCAAGCTCCCAGCAGCCCCGATCTCCCAGGAGACCCCGAGATCTTCCCACAGGTCCTGCCACCCACAGCTCTGGGCCCGGAAATTAGACACCCCGTCACACCACACCACGACGCATCGTGTTTACAGAAAGCAAGATCGTTATTTACCAGAACAGAAACACTGAGCTAATTCGCTTTTAAATACACCAAGTAGAGCAGCACACAGAGAGAAAACAGAAGCCTTCTGAGTGGAACAGGCGGGGCCTGAACCGCAGGGTTTCCCATCACCCGCTGCTGCCCAGGCCACTCTCCCCTGCTCTCCACCGATGGGCAGACCCTTCCCAGTATTACCCACCTCATTATCCACAAGTGAAGCCAGGTTAAGCAAACAGGTCCTTCCCGGACCCCTGGAGCTCCCTGGGGCCCATTCTCCAAGCCTTTTCCAGAGATGTGTTCTGGGCAGAGTGAGTCATGAGCTCCCCTCCTCGGGGCCTCGGAGAGCACAGGGACACTTGAGCCCCCACCTCCCAGCAAGCATCTCGTTGCCCATTGTGAAAGGCAAGTTTTCTGCTTTTTTCCAGGATTAGAAAGACACAGAGGGAAATTTTAGTCCTAGATCTAAACCCCAAACGTTAATCTGGGGACCAGGAATGGCCAGCGACAAAGTTCTCAACAGCCAGGAACAAAGAGGGGAAAAATTAAGACAAAAAGGGATGTGTATGGAAAGAACTATGCTTGCTTCTGGGATTAGATCCTTCTTACGTTTCTGTTCTAAAATGAACATTGGGGGGGAAAAGTAGAAGGATGGTGATTGTGTTGACATATTTTTTAATGTCCTTACTTGGCAAAATAGGAAAGTTTGACATCTCTAGCTAGTCCTTCCTAAAATAAAAATTAAAAATTAAAAAAAAAAGAAGTTTGGTGTGTTTCTAAGTGGTTAGAAGGGGTCCAATTCCCAGTTAAGGGCATGTACCTGGGTCGCAAGTTTGGTCCCCAACCCTGGTTGGGATGCATGCAGGAGGCAACCAATCAATGTGTCTCTCTCACACATCAATGTTTCTCACTCTCTCTCTCTCTCCCCCCTCCCTTTTCTTCCTCCCTCCCTTCTACTCACTCTAGAAAGCAATGGAAAAAATATCCTCTGGTGAGGATTAACAAAACAGAAATGGGGTGGGTGAGAGGGAATTTCATTGTCTCTGATGGCCCAAAGTCTGAGACACAGTGTGGTAGATGACACAAAAGAAAGTAAGACCAAGCCTCAGACTAGGTCCAAGTCCAGAAGCAGACTAGGAGGGTGAGGAGGGCGCCTGTAGATACCGAAGTGTGGGCTAGAACACCCCCCGATGCTTGGCTGGCCCCACTTGGTGCCCTTCAGTGACAGGGAGCTCATTCCTTCAGTGCACAGTTCTGATTACTAGGGAGAGCTTTCCTGTGCCCACAAGGAACTGCATCCTTACATCCAGGCGTAGTACAGGGAGGGGGGGGCATGGAGGGGGTATCCTCTTCAAGGACAGCCTTTCACCCGCAGGAAAATGGGCTCCACGTGGCACCCCTCCCACCCGGTGGTCTTTGGTTGGGGTCTATTTGCTCCCCCAGCCCCAATCACTCTTCTTGTGAAGTGACTTGCCTAAGACCTCATGGCTAGCAAGTGAGTTCGAACCCAACTCTTCTGCTCCCAGCCCAGTGCCCTGCCCCCTAGTTCTAGATGTGGCAATGGCTGTGTTCCCAATTCATGAGATGGTTCTGGCTGCTCAGAACCAGTTGGCAAAGCAACAAAGAAACAACAACAACAAAAAAAATTTTTTTTAATACAGAAGAAGTCAATGTGATCGCCATAAGCACAGCTGCACAGAAAAGGGCGTGGACAGAGGCAGGGCTCAGTGGCCATGGCAGCCCCACTTTGGGGTGGGCTGCCGGACGATGTTTACTGTGTTTTTCCTTTTCCTGTTTTCCAGTTTTTGTTTTCCCAATGACCTTGTTTCTATTTGTATGAAAACATAAAACTATAACCATGCAGAAAGATGAAATAAGAGAAGTAAAATTAAAGTCATTTCTTTCAAAGATCCCATCTCACTTCCTGGCCGTTTTCCAATGAATAAACTGTTGGGGCTGGTGCTCCAGAGATGGCTTAGGATTCCGCCCCCTGTGGGCGTGGCCTGCCCAAGACCCGCCCTCCACAGCTTTCCATCCCTGGGCTTTCCTGCAGCCTGACATTCCTGCTGTATCACCCCCCCCCCCAATGGTGACCCCACAGGCAAGCAGCCTTGGGGGTCAGATGGCCCTGGGCAAGTCATTTTCCTCTCAGGGCATCCTCGCTTTTCCTGTGGGTAAAGCCAGGGTGGAGAGCATTTTACAGGGATTAGACTGGGTGACCTCTAACTTTCTTTCCAGGCTTAATATTGAAATATCCTGGGACTAGCCTTGCCTCTCGGGACTGCCCTCAGGCCCCTGAGTGGAGAGTCTAGGTCTGAGAGAAGTCCCAGCCATTACACACAAGTGTGTTTGAGCATGTGTGTATGTGCACATGTGATTGTGGGGGTGTTGGGGTGTGTATGTGAGTAGGAGGTACCAGAGGGACAGGCTCCCTGTTCTGTAATTGGCACAGGCACATCATCTAGTTTCTCACCTTTTTGAGGCTCCTGCTCCTTCTCTCTCCAAAACCCCACCCATCCACCCGCCACCCCGCCACCCTGCCACCCCGCCACACCCCTTCTCATTCCTTTGTCTTCTCTGTTCCCATCTGAGTCAAGCCCCAGCTCTGTTCTTTCTCTGTCTCTGACCTAGAACAAGACCTGTCGCTCTGAAGCCCTGGTTACGTGTGTACCCCCCATCCCCCCGCCACACACACACACACACACACACACGTGGTCTCTTCCCCCAGGGCACCATTCCCCAGGCCCCCAGCCCTCTCCCAAGAGGTGTCCACGGCTCCCAGAGTCCACCTTGGTCCAGACAGAAATGAAGATCGGCTCTATTGCACAGTGACAGAGTCAGAGCATCTTTTCCGCCGAGATCTGAATGAAAAGTCTGGAAGGCGGACAGCGCCATGATTTGTAACCTGACGTGGCCTCTCTGTGCATTGAACAGACTTTCATTAAAATCTCAGGAGGGATGAGAGCCCTTCGATTGTGCACCTCGGGCTCCAGGTGGAAAAGCAAGGTCTTTGCACAACAAAGACAAAGGCTCAAGGATGGTCCCTAAAAGGCTGGGGGTCGGGGGTTCGCTGTCAGCTCAGGCGAGCACTTGTAGGAAACCTTAGGAAACCACACCCACCACTCCACCCGTTTCCCGAAGAGAAGACTGAGACCAGCTCTTTCCGCCCCTCAGCAGATCCCGGTAACCCCACCCCCCTCACCCCCACCGCTGCACTCACCCTCAGGGCCGGCAGGGCGCTGACCTGGTCCGTGGTCAGGGTTGCCTCCTTGTAGTTCTTCCCAGGGGGACAGAGCTTCAGAAAGGTGTTGTGGATGCTGAGAAGAGAGACGAGACAGGCTGGGGAGCAGAGACCAGCAAGCCCCTGCCCTCCGCCGTGCTCTTCGGAGGTAAGGGACTCAGGATTGACTGACACAGAAAAGGCGGTGGTAAATCATTCACCCTTCCAGAAACATCCTTGAGGCTCCAGTGCCCAGAGCACACCTGGCGTGGGATGGGTGGGGGGAGACATCCCCCAGGAAAGCACGGGGGCGGGGGCCTGAAGGACAGCAAGGAGGAGAGGAACCATCTGTAAGGGGAGGGGGTGAGCCGTCCGCCCAGTCCAAACGAGTATCATCACGGCGATGGTTAGAGTTGCAGGTGGGAGGTGATCGTAAAACGCAAGCTGACTTTCAGTCAACGTTACGAACGTTGAAGGTTAAAGCATTCTCTGAGGCCATGGGCCCATCTGGCTGGTGCCCAAGGCAGATGGCTCCCGCGGTCCTCACCCAGGTTCCCCCTCGGAGTGCCTGCCGCATGCTGCCTTCTCTCGGGGACACTTTTCATGGACCCTGCATGACTGTCTCACCAAAACAGGCTCATTACCTCTTGTTTACAGATGATGACACTGAGGCTAAGGAGCTAATATAACTTGCCTTAGCCTCAGTGTCATCTGAGTGAGAGCCAGAGCTATAGACAGCCGGCCCTTGCCCCAGAGAAGAGGGGTGTCAGGGCGGCTGAGGGAGACTGTAGGAACCTCTCTACCCCTGAAACCCTCTTCTCCTGTACCAAGCTCCATGTGCCCTCCAGCACATGATCTCATTGAGTCTTCCCATCAACCCCTGGGAGAGACATAGGAGTGATCAGTCCTATAGACGGCTAAACTGAGGCACAGAGCATTTAGGGGTGTGCCCAAGGTCAGACAGCTCGCAAGAGAGAGAGTGAGGTCTGAACCCTAAACCTGGTTCTTCTGGCTGCGCCGCCCACCCCTCCAGTGTTCTTCCCCATCCGGGGAGAGATGGGAGCCCCCCCCCCCCCTGAGAGCCCTGGGGAGGGGGTGCGTGAGGAGGGCCCTGCCAGGACTCGGTGCCTCCCCGGGCTGCGGGGTGGGAAGGCTGCCCACACATGAATCGTGGCTGTGTCTCAGCTGCCACAGAATGCCCTCCTCCTCCAAATATGGATCCGCCAGCTCTAAGTGGAGCTCTGAATTAATTACTAATGGACTCAAAGTCAAAGTCATTTAAAAAACTCACACGCTCAGCCTGCCAAGAGCCCAGCCGGGCAGGCAGGAGGTGGCTCCTGCACACCTCGCCCAGCCGCGGGAGGGGCTGTCTGAGCCGGGAGAGGCGGGCACCGGCTCCACCGCGCACACCCGGGGGACCATGAACCAGCCACGTCCCCTCCAGGCCTCAGTTTCCCCCGAGTAAGACGAGTCTGGATGATGCCCTCGCCCCGGCTCCTCCAGTTCAGACGTTCTGTGGCTGTTTCCGTACCTCTCTCTGCTCACCTCTTGCCTCTGAGGCCCTGAATTTAGTGGTTTTCAACTGGGTCCCTTGTTAGAATCATGGAGCGGGCCATGAGATTTCCGTTCAAGGCCGACGTGGGGCCCAGGCACCTATAGGTTCTATAAGCTTCCTTCCGTGCTGCTGTGGTGCAGGCTGGACTGAGAACACGGCGCCCCTGGGCCCTCCCTGGCTCGGCGGCCTGGGCCGTGTGGTCAGCAGGCTCTGCCCACGGGACAGCCTGCAGGTATTTTATAAATAGCCCTATCTGTGGACAGGAGGCTTTTAGTCCCGTGACCGGCTACTTCCAGGCTGTGTGCCTTGGGCAAATCCTTTCTCTGAGCCAGTCCCCTCATTTGCCAAAAGGGGATGATAACACCATGAAAATAGCAATGACCACATGCTCGGCACGGATCCTGGTGCCTGTCACGGGTTGCACCATCTCATTGTCCAGATAACGGACCTGGCTCTCAGGTCACCCTTGTTTTGGACGTGTGGAAACTGAGGCTCAGCAGAGGTGAGACACACTCACCCGCAGTCACACAGCCAGGAAGTGACGGCTGAGCCTCGGACTCAGGCCTCTAAGCAAGCCTGTCACCACTCCACCTGCTGACCTGGTGTTCCAGGAAATCCAGGAGCTAAGGGCCAGGACAGGGCCTGGAGCCCCAGAAGTCTCCATTTCGCTGACTGGACATTTATTCTATGGGTGAATTCTCCCCTGTTGGATAAGCTCTTTGCGCATGAATGTTGGATGTAACATTATTTGTAAAGCTGAAAGCCATAAATAACATAAGTGTGTTACATTACAGCAGGTTGGTAAAATGAATTACAGTTCTTCCGTAGGAAGGAATGCTCCGTAGTCATTAAAAAAGAAAGAGGGAGCCCTAGCCGGCTTGGCTCAATGGATAGAGCGTCAACCTGCGGACTGAAGGGTCCCAGGTTCAATTCCAGCCAAGGGCATAGGCCTGGGTTGCACATGCCTGGGTTTCGGGCTCAATCCCCAGTCAGGGGGAGGGGGGCTTGCAGAAGGCAGCTGATTAATGATTCTCTCTCATCATTGATGTTTCTATCTCTTTCTTCTTCTCCCTTCCTCTCTGAAATCAATAAAGAAATATATTTTTAAAAAAAATAAAAAAGACAGATCTCTGTGCTTTAAGCAAAACCAGCCAAGATGAAAACTTTATTTAAAAAAAAAAAAAAAGGGTCCAGAACAGTGTGAACGCTACCCTATAAATGAGGAAATGCTTCAGTATGAATGGGAGACCCTTTTTGAAGGGGGCTACCTTTGGGGAAAAGACCTGGGGAAATTGGGGGGGGGGGGGGGAAGAGACATTTACTTTTTTTATGTAGAGCTTTTGATACTATCGAATTCTCTAGCCCTGCTCACACGTTACATTTTAAAATTAGATTTTATTTTTGCTCAAGAGTTACTTTTTAGAAAGGCTCAGTAGGGGTAGTAGGATGTGAGTCATTTGGAGTTTTGTCATATTTTTTTCTATATTTAAAAAAATGAGTGAATTTTAAGTTTCAAAGGGAAATTATATAGCCCCGTGACTGGCCCTGTCTCCATAGCTCCCTGTGTCCCGGCCACGCCACGGGCCTGGGAGGCTGGTGCTTGTGGCAAAGGCATCGCCTGCCTGGGACTCGAGGTGGGAAGTGTGGCTTTCAGTCCAGGCGTCATGGCGGGGAGCGCGAGTCCACGCAGAGACAATGAGGGGAGAGGGCCCCAGGCATGAGGGTCTGAAAGTGGCCTCCTCCCTCCAGCCACCCCAGGCCTCAGAGAGCTCATGCATCCATCTTACACACGTTCATTGAGCCCCTGGCTTGGGCTGTGCACTCCCCCTCCCTCATGCCTTCCATCCCTTGCCATCCCATGAGGGGATGTAGTGATGGGTGGCTTTGGGGCCAGAAACCTGCCAAGAGCAGGGACCAGTGTTCACCATTACACCCCAGAGCGGCGCAGTGTCTGCCACACACCAGGCCCTGAAGGGAGGCTGGGGGAGGGCGTGGGAGCCGGGAGAGATGCAGTTAGCGCACCAAGGTTACCCGACCAGTGACGTCCAAACGGGCTTCAGACCTGCTCCCTGAGTCCCTCCCCTTTTCTTCATCATCCCAGGGGGGCCTGTCCGCCTCTGTGGTTCCGTGAAGACATCCTGCCGTGGGTCCCCAGCAGCCTGGAGCCTGACATTCCCCTCATCTCCAGTGAGGCCTGGGCATCCCGACCCCACCCCGGGGGCTGGGTCCGTGTCTGCCTGCTCTGGGCACCCTCATCTCCAGGGTTCTGTGGCTCCGAGCAGGGACCACCCTCGGGCCAGGGCAAGGTCCCAGCCCAGGGGCGGAGGTGAAGGGAGGTGGGTCTACTCACCTCAGGATCTCATTTTTGGTCAAGAAGGTCAGCGCCTACAACAAACCATAGAGAGGTGACCTGCCCTCTCCGTCCAGCCCTGCCCTGGCCTCCCGAGGAGTGGGGAGCTCTGGGGGGCTGGGGTGGAATAGCGCATGCTCTCATCCCACAGGCAGAAATGGAGGCACCTGGCCCTCAGTAGTGGATGCCTGAGGAGGGAACAGGGCCCTTCCCCCACCCCGTCTCTGATGGACTTGGGAAGGAGTGTGTGGGCTCAGACCTGGAGAGGGAATCAGAGACAAGACGGAAGCTGGGCTGTGGAGCAGGGGACAGGTGGGGAGGAGGACTAGACTAGACTTCAGCAAAGGCCACGGCCACCGCTATCTGACTGGTAGACTCTAGAGTCTAAGCTTCAGGTCAGAGTCTTCCCGCTCGCCCCACCTGACTTAGGGAGCTCCCACCTCTGCCCAGAGTCTCAGCCTGATCTACCCACCTGGTACTCCTCCAGGTCCTCCCAGTGCATCTGGTACTTCAAACACTGTCCCATGCCAGCCTCGCCTTTCTCTCTGCCGGCAGCAGAACCTTTGCCCCCCGGGCTCACCCCTGTGTGTGTGTGACCAGGTGACCTGGTTGCCATAGTTGCCACACATTCCACCTTCTGCCCATTCTGCCGGAGCTTCTGAGCGGACAGAGAAATGGGTTCTTCTGGTTCCCAGGGCTAATGGACACCTGCCCTACGCCACACAGAGAGGCAGCCGCCCAGGAGCAGGGTGCGTGCCAGTCTGCTGGCTCGGGAGTCACGCTGCCTGGGTGTGAAGCCCAAATCCGCTCATGCTAACAAGACATGTGACCTCGGGCCAGTGACTCAAGCTCTGCAGGTCTTAGTCTCCTCACCTATAAAGCAGAGTGATAACATGGCACGTTGAGGATGATTTGAGTGAATACTGGCAGCAATGGCAGGCACAGAGGTGCTGAATAGATGTTCACTGTTAGGCTCCTGTCACAATAGCAACCATTGCTCTCAGGTCACCCTTTTTTGTACGTGTGGAAACTGAGGCTCAGCGGAGGTGAGACGCTCACCCAGTCTCACAATGAGAAAGTGACCGCTGAGCCTCGGACCCAAGCACTTTGCCAAGTGCGGGGATGCAAAAATGAGGATGCATAGACCCTGACCACAGGAGTGACCCAAAGAGCACCCAAAGGGGCGTTCCACCCCCTCTGTCAGGGCCCAGTCAGGGTCTGGAAGGGTCCCTGCAGGAGCAGAGGGTCCATTCAAATTAGGATACTTTGGAGGGGGTCTAAAAGGGGAACTTGTTGGAACTCTTCAAAAGGCAAGGTGGGGTGTAGACAAACCACCCAGGCGAGGGCAGAATCCTGGGCTCCTGAACATAGAGTTGCTCCAGTCCTGGCCCAACACACAAGGATCAGCACCCCAGCATGGCTCGCTCCCCTTCTTTCCCTGCAGGAATGAAGGGCAGGAGTTAACCTGGGAAGACAGACAAGTCCAGCTCAGCGTCAGTGCCACAGGCCAGGAGGGCCTCCCACAGCCACCCCCTCCTGCCTCGGGGCGGCCTGCACGCCCACCCTCACTGTGCCTGTGGCTCTCCTGGTTCTGCCAGGTCCTTCCACACACCCTCCTCCGTGAACATCCCAAGGCCTTTCTGTTGCAGCTAACATGTCTCTGGGAATCAGCTGCTCAGTCTTCTTTTCATTTGTTCCTTTTCTCCACCTGTCCTTCCCTGGAAGGAGCCGGGCAGAGGAACCCAGGGGCCCTCAGTCCCGTGTGGACCTGGCAGACACAGGGGAAGCACTGCAGTGTGCTGGGAACCTGGTCCCGCCCTGGGGAGAAATGAGTAACTGTGGTCTCAGCCTTCAAGAAATGGACACCACACACACACACACACACACACACACACACACACCACACACACACACACCACACACACACACACACACACCACACACACACACACACGCACGCACGCACACACACCACACACACACACACACACACCACACACACACACACACACACGCACACACACACACACACCACACACACACACACACACACACACACGCACACCACACACGCACACACACACACGCACACACACACACACACACACACACACAAACACACGCGCCAAAGGAGATTGAGCAGGTGCCATCAGAGGCTTAATAGTACAGGGCTGGCTGCATCCCGGTGGGCAAGTCATACAACTACGCTGAGCCTCAGTCCCTTCACCTATAAAGTGGGAATAACAAATCCCCACTTTATAAGACTCATGCAAGGATAAAATGAGATGTTATAATATTTATTTAGCTCTTACGTACAAGGTGCCAGGCACATAATGAGTTCTCCATAGAGGGTACGTCATATTGTTACTTTTTACAGCTGAGCCTGGGAGAAAAGGGCAGGATTGTAGCAGGCAAAGTCAGCGGTCAAATCCCATCTGCTGCTAAGCCCTTGGAACGTCCGCCATCATTTACTGGGCAGCTTCCCTCTGCCAGCCGTGCCCACGTAAGCTGCCTCCTGCCATGCACGCCGAGGGCTCTGAGGTCCGCAGGGTACCGCTCCCATACTCTGGGAAGGCAAGATGGCGACGTTCCGTGATGCTGTGGGAACTCTCAGGCGAGTGGGCACGGGAGGAACCAAGCCTGAATGGCAGGTGCAGGCCTGGGGATGCCCACAGCGTGGGTGGGAGCCAGGTGAGCTGTGGGTGACACCCCCAGGGGCTGCTTCCTTCTCAAGTCTCACTCGGTCCTCCTGTCACCTGGAGGTGCCCGTGGCTGCGTGGCACCGGCTGGTGGGTGCCTTTGCACCCTGTTGGCACTCCCGAACGGGAAGCAGATGAGAGAACATCCCTGCAGCTCTTTTTCCAACAGCTGCTTATTGAGAGGAGACAGAGTTCCTGAGAGACAGGGTCCTGCCCTCTGCAGCCAGACACACAGAGGAAAAGCAGTGTTCCTGAGGCCGAGGGACAGGAGTGGGAGCCAGGCTGGGGGGAGAGTTTTTCAGGCCCAGAAGGGAACAGCCTCCAGCGAGAATTTAATAACACGGCTTGGCTTTCGCTACCTTTGTTTATAGCCTTCCTCCCATTTCGAAAACGACGCAGGCTTGCCATTTATAACTGTGATGTAAGGTTTCCTTTATAAATAGGCCTGTTTAATGAAAAGAAATAGGAGCACATATAAAGAAAAATGCTGAGTAAATAGTTGTACAGGTGGTGAAGGAACATGCCAGAAATCGTAAACCGTTCTCTTTCTCACTGCAAGCAGGTAACCAAGGTTTGCAAACTCTGCGGCCCTCCCCTCTCCTTTAGTTCCATCCCCCCATTTCCCCCCAACTCCTGCCCACAGCCGCCCCACCTCACACACAGGTTTCTGTGATTTCATCGAGAGAGGGTTCTCATTGGTTCTTACAAATAGCAATAGTAGCAATAAGAACTTCACCTCACATTTGCATATCCCTTTGCAATTCCAAAATGCTTTTCTGTGCATGAGCTCATTTATCCAAGAGATAAAACCTATGCTCCTTAAAAGAAACACACACACACACACACACACACACACACACACACACACACACACAAAAACACCAAAGAAAGATCTTCACCCCCACATGAATCTTCTTTCAATTCACTACCAACCAATATCCCTACGCCTTTCATCCAAACACTTCGGCAGGGATTTTGAAAGGGGTGTCCTTGAGCGGCAATAGGCCCAGCCTGGCCCCCCAGCTCTCATCCTTCCTCCCCAGGGCCTGCCCCTGCCCAAACCCTTTGGCGTGGAGTGGCATGTGCTCTTTGCAAGGTTTCTGAAGCCTTGCAATGAACTCTACCAACTATTCAAACTGCAACCCCTACTCAGACCTTGATTTACTCGTCTCTTAAAAAAGGCTGGAAAACAAACAAACAAACAAACAAAAAACAACACAAAAAGACTAATGGCCCAACTGAAAAAATGGGCAAGGGATTTGAATAGAACTTTCTCCAAAGAAGATACCCAAATAGCCAATGAGCGCATGAAAAGACACTCGTCGTCATTAGCCATCAGGAGATGCCACAGTGAGGTACCACTGCATGATCACGAGGCTGGCACAAGTCAAAAATACAGCAAGTGTTGGTGAAATGCAGAGAAATGGGAACCCTCACACACTACTGGTGGGAATATTCAGTGGTGGTAGGTCCTCAAAAATGTGAAGGCCCAAGATGGAGTCACTTGTGCTAAGCCCCACCTCATTAAACCAAGACTTAATTACAGTTTGGGCTCTCCCAGAAATGGAATCTTAAAACCAGCCAATCAGGAAGCACCTAGTTAGCACTAGTGTGATCTTCTGCCTGATAGATCCCTGCCAACCCCTAAAGCAGTGGTTCTCAACCTTTCTACTGCCGCGGCCCTTTGATACAGTTCTTCATGTTGTGGTGACCCCCAACCATAAAATTATCTTCATTGCTACTTCATAACTGTAATTTTGCTACTGTTATGAATCATAATGTAAATATCTGTGTTTTCTGATGGTCTTAGGCGACCCTTGCTAGCAATTCTCAACCCACAGAGCTGAGAAAAAAATTATATGGTTGGGGGTCACCACATCATGAGGAACTGTATTAAAGGGTCGTGGCATTAGGAAGATTGAGAACCACTGACCTAAAGGAAGGCGACCTTGCCACAAACAACCGTTTTTTTCCCCTTGTTCCCACCACCTTCTGCCTATCAAAGTCTCACTTCACACAGCTCCTCGGGACTTCTTTCTATCTGCTGGATTCGACACTGTCCGATTTATGAATTGTTGAAGAAAGCTAAGAAGATCCTTAAAATTTACTCAGATTAATTTCGTTTTTTTTAACACATACACCCCTGCAATTCCACTCCTGTGTATATACCCAAGAGAAGTGAAAGCATTTGTCCACATAAAATCCTGTACATGAAAGTTCATAGCAAGATTAGTCATAAGAGCCAAAACAGTAGAGCCAGCCTAAATAATCACCAAATAATGAATGTATAAATAAAACGTGGCATATCCCATATAACGGAGCATTATGCTGCTGTAAAAACAAATGAAATATTAATACATGGTACAACATGAATGAAGCTTGAAAACATTATACCAAATTAAGAAAGCTAGTCACAAAGGCCACATGTTCTATCGTTCCATGTATATGAAACGTCCAGAGCAGACAAATCCATAGAGACAGAAAGTAGATTGGTGGTTGCCAAGAGCAGGGGGAGGGGAGATTGGGAGGTTACTGTTAATGGAAGTGGACTTTCTTTTTGGGGTGATGAAAATATTCTAAAATGAGATGGTGCTGATGGTTGTATAACTCTGTTGCACACTATAAGATCGAATCGTATGTCAATTATCCTATACAATAAAGATGTAATATGCAAATGATCGTTACGCCATGAAGCATAACAACCCACCTTGTAAAGACTGGATCACGATCAGGAGGATGGGGCAGTGAGCTATAGCAGGTGGCAGAGAGCTACAGGAGGGGCCAGGGCTGCAAGGGGGAGGGACAGGACAGGGGAGGGGAGAGCTAC